CCTCCCTTGGGTGGGGAACTTAATCGCTGGCTTTTTCCTATGTCTTTGGAAGTCACCTTGAGGTATGAAGATAACCTGGTTCCTAAATCCACAGGATAGAACCCCAGTTGCTCAGACCTTTCCATTGTCCTTAAGGTTGTCTGTCCTGAGTTCCCCTGCTTGTGGAGTCACCCCAAGTCACCCTTGGAGCCAGGCTCAGGGGGAATGAAGTGGCCTCCATAACAGTCTCGGGACCATGAATTGTACTGTTAATTCCTCACAGTACTCAGGGTCCACAGCACAGGATATGCACCATGGCCAGAGAAGGACAACCCCAGTGTCCTGCCTTGGTGAGACATCACATATTGAGGTGTGGCATTGATAATGTGAACAGATAGCACAGGGCAGGGATGGAGGATGGAGACTGCATTACTGTAGAATTGTCTCCCAGTGGGTCTTGTCCTTTATTCCACAAGGAACTCTCCAAGGAATATCTTCTCTCTCTTTTTCCAGATTACCAACAGCACAGAGTGTCTTTTACTTATAATAACCTCTAAACAAACCTTCAACAAGGGCTTCAATGTCAAAACTGATGGTCAGCTTTAGCGAGACTGGGGAATGTGGTGATATTGTGTTCCCCCAATTATCGTGTACCCTAATAAACTTATCTGGGGTCAGAGAACAGAACAGCCACTAGATATAGAGGCCAGAAAATGGTGGCACACACACCTTTAATCCTAGCATTCCAGAGGCAGAAATCCACCTGGAACTCTGTGAGTTCAAGGCCACACTGGAAACAGCCAGACATGGTGACTCATGCCTTTAATCCCAGGAAGTGAGCCTTTAATCCCAGGAAGTGATGGCAGGAAGCAGAAAGGTATATAAGGCATGAGGACCAGGAACTAGAGCTGGCTAAGCTTTTAGGCTTTTGAGCAACAGTTCAACTGAGACCCATTCAGATCAGGACACAGAGGCTTCCAGTCTGAGGAAACAGGATCAGCTGAGGAACTGGCGAAGTGAGGTAGCTGTGGCTTGTTCTGCTTCTCTGATCTTTCAGCGTTCACCCCAATACCTGGCTCCAGGTTTGTTTTTATTAATAAGACCTTCTAACAATTCATGCTACAGGGGGAACTATATCTCACCTGGCAGCAGGAGAGACCCTTGGAGAAGAATCTGATTTCAGGGGAAGCCAAAACATTTGCAGCCTAAGGCCCTCAAGGATTCAGGTAGACCATTCTGGAACAGCACAAGAGCTGGTCCTGCAGATGTGGGAATCATTATCACAGGGTGCACTGACACAATTATTAACCAGAGCACTGGACCACTCAGAACATTTGGGATCTTTTGTTGGGCATCAAATCTCTCTTCAGAGAATAGCTAATCTCCCCAGAAGGTGAAATATTGAGGTGTTAGACAATAACCTGCATTATTTAGGTAGAATACAGAAAGAGATGTGCTGTACATGAGTGTGTAGCTGATTAGTGACTGACATTGTAAGTTCTACTTCTTGAAAAGAAGGATAGACCATGTTAGACTGGGAAACGTAAACTTTTGCAGAGATGTTTAAAAATAGAGGAAAAGAGACAATCCCAAACAAGCGTACATCACTGGAAAGATGCCGAGGAGACAGTGTGAAAGTCAACTTCAGATACGGTTAGAGATGCCCTGGGGGTTCTAGCTGTCTGCATTGGAAGGCATAGTTCCCCACCTACTTGACTTTAGCATACCTTTCCTAGAAGCAGTGTAGCCTAAGGCAGATATGCTTGGATTAGAAGCCATTAGTCTGGGATGGCTGCTCCATCACTTGCTAGGGGTGGGAGTTTGAACAGCAAAGACACTTCATCTTCCTGAGCCCCTCTCTCTCATCTGCAAAGCCAATCCTGTCCATGTTGATCCAAAGGAAGTCCTTAAAATTCAGCAATGATGGTTAGTATGAATTCTGACCTCTTTGATGTGCACAGTGCCTTCCCCATCCTCTAAATTCCAAAAGCCAGCTAATCCGTGCATCCTTCATTTTGACCGAACTGCACCTTCTGCCATTGTATCTTAACTGCTTCACAAGTTCATAGAAGCTTTCTTAAGTTGGACATAAACTCACTGGACCTGGGCCTTGTCTTAGACACTCACTGGATGCTCAGAACATTGCAGGTTCATAACAGGTACACAAAAAAAATTGTTTCTGTGATTGATTTATATATCTACGAGGACCAAAATAATCCCAAAGTGTTCTCAGAGGAAATAGATCTTGGGGTTGACATTGACGGATGGGTAAGTAATGACAAGAATTGTTCAAGGGACAGAATGGCTGGTGAGGGCAATGATAGGATATTGTGACAGTTTCTTTTCTAACTTTTTACTTTTCTGGCTGCTGATCCCCCTAGAACATCTAGCAGGTTTTGAAGTCATTTATCACCTTGGTGCTTTGTGAGAAAAATCAAATGAAACAAAACCGAAAGAGAAAAATCTCCATCCAACAGCTGGACAGCTCAGTTATTTTTAGGGACAGGAGAAGCCAGTGTTTGGGACTCAGCAAAACACCCCACTCTGCTTGGAGTTGGCGAGTGCCTGGAAATGCACGGGGCTAAGCATTTTCTCAGCTGCAACTCTCTAGCACGTGTGATTTGAAGGGAAACTCAATCCATCTGTTTCTCATTCATTTACATTGAACCCATGAAAATGGCCTTTGCATGATGACATTTTCCGTGATTTTACTGGAAATATTAATATACTGTTGAATCCTTTTTAGTATCCTGGGGTTCTCAGCCTTTGTCTTTATGGAGAACCCAAGAAGAGTGGAGAATGCTCAGGGTGCCTGTCACCACACTGCACTCATCTCTTGAGAATTCATGGTGGCTCACAGAGTCTGACCATTTTGGAAAGAGAACAGAGTAAAGGCATCCCCAAGGTCTCAGATCCCTTGTCCTTGTTTCTGGCAGAGCCTGAGAGATGGCCCAGCAGAGGGAAAAAGTGCTTCAGAGGCAATTTGGTCAGTAGACTAATTATGGGACAAAGAAAGTTTGGATTCCAGACATTGTGTGACCTTGAGCAAAAGCAATTCCTTTTCTGTTCTTTAATTCCCCAAAATGTGGTAGGAGAATGATATTGCAGGTTTTGATTCATCTCCTGGAAATGGCTCATGTGGTTGAAATGTGGTTTGTGATTTTAGGAAACAAAATTACCACAGCAAATCGGGCCGAGGAGACGGCCCAGTGGGTGAAGTGAGTGTTGTACAAGTGTGAGAATCTGAGTTCGATCCCCCAGAGTCCATGTGAAACAATGCGGGTGTGGCAATGGGCACCTGTAATCTCAGTAACGGGGAAATGGTGACCGGAGGATGCCTGGGCCTCACAGTCCTTCCTGTTTAGTGAAACTGGAAAGCTCCAGGTTCAGTGAGAGAGAAAGTCCCCAAAATATGTTGGAGACTAATTGAGGAAGACACCTGACTTTGACAGCCTGTGCATATGTGTGTACCTTCATGCACCACACACACCACAACACACACAGGCACATGTGTACACACATGCACAATAGGAAGACATTATTTTTCCAGACATCCAAATGGTAGTCTTGATTTCCTTGGTGGTGTACACAGTGGGTAAGATACCTCTAGCACTGAACACGGACAGTCCCAAATTGTCCATTCCCATTCTTTTCCAGACCCAGTAAAGAGGCTCAGTTTATAGTTTGAGTTTGTAGCTCAAGTCCTGAGTGATCATGACTGATCCACAAAAGGACTAGGTTTCTGATAGCAGATCCTCCCAGGCATGTCATCATTTGATACATGCTTTTGAGCAGGCACTGAAGGAGATCTGTGTCTGAGCTCACACAGACATAGCTAGTACTCCATTGCAGGAGAAATGTGCACACTCTCCACAGAACTAGATCCTGAAAAGGAACTTGGGAGCTCCTATGTTCGAAACAAAGTGTGTGCAGCTCATTTGTACTTTTTAATAATTGCAAGTGGTGAGATAGCAATGAGGTATGCTTGGATTGTTCTTAAGCAGAGGAGAGGTAATTTGACTGGGCCTGTTTGGAAATGGGTTGGAGTAAAAGGGAGTCACTTGAATTCCAGCTGTTTATCGGGTTAGCTATCTTCCTCTCTTTTCCATTATCGTATTGTCAGAGGGGAATATGAAAATGGAACATGTACTTAGACAAGCTTCTCTTCCTCTTCCCCTCTTGAGCACATTTTGCTTGTGTTTGCATTCCCAGGCTTTGAGCAAGAGAGACTAAGGCACGGGCTGCCAGATTGGCTATTCTTTCCAGATGAGCTACTCAATACTACAATGGAGAGAGATCAAGAGAGGGGAGAAGAGGAGGAGTAAGAAAAGGACTAGGAGGAGAGAGGAGGAAAGGGTGGGCATGCAGGGTGCCAGGAAGAGCAAGGGACAAGAGTTCGTTGGTAGAGGGCTGGGAAATGCATCCAAGGAAGAAAACTGGGCTCCAGGGGCAGGAGGAGAAGGCAGTGTGCGTTGAAGAGAGGGAGAAGAGCAGAGAGAAAGGGCAAGAAGAGCAGGGGAAAACTAGAATGTGGGGTCCAGGCCAGAGCAGCTTCCCAGACCTGCTGTCTGCTTCAACATCTGCATCTCGGTGGGGTGTTTCCAAATGAGGATGCCTCTTCCCTGAACCTTTCCACCCACAGGGTGCCTGCCCACTCACACCCTCCCACAGAACTTACTTGTGCTCTTACTCACCAGCCACTGGTGCCCAGATAACTGAATCAGCTCTGGATGCGGCCAACCTCAGGAGCAAACAGGAGAAAAAGCATCTGTGATGGGCATTACAACTCAGACTTAGGAGCAAATGACCAGCTACACCTTGCTGCTGTGACCTTCACTTGAGCAATTGTGAATCCATGGACAGAGCATGAAAGAAGGAGTCAGAGTTTGGGGACAGAGTCATTGTATTGTATCCAATCCTACCATTCGATGTGATAGGGACTAGGAGTCTCTCGCTGGTGATTTGAGCAGGAAATAAAAACAATTTTATTTTGTTAATTTTTTTCTGACTTCTGGACTTAGGTGGAGATAATTCAGATGGATATCATCTCCCGGCATCTTAGGCTTGAGGTGAGTCATAGAGCGATTCCCACCCTGTGTCTATTCTGGAGTGAGAGTGGAGGTTCCAGATGTAACTTCCAACATGAGAAGGAGGAAGAGCTTGCTGTCCCAGCCCTCCCAGCTTCCACAGTGTCCTCTTGCCCCTTCCAGAATTCACTGTTCTTGGTTATCACCCTCAACCAACACCCCATGGCTTCTCCGATGGTGTATAGTGTAATTAATCCCTGATAATCTAACCGCCAGTCAGATAGAGAAAGGTTCTTGCTCAGCACTTCTCTGAGACATTAGCCTGGACATGCCTCCTTGCCCCTTCCGCGAATGATTGATTTCCTGTTTTTTTTGCTTTTTTGTTTGTTTGTTTTTGTTTTGTTATCACCCCCTCTCACTCCCTTGATTTGCCTCACACACAGGAAGGTGGTGAAATGAAGGTCCTTGGCGGAGGGGTCAAGGTGGACCACCTCACATGGCCTCACCTCACCTCTGTGGAGCTGGAAGGTAAATATGCCGAGGCACTCACTCAGCAAGGCACGCAGGCCCTCTGCCCGAAATGAAGACTCAGTTTGTCAGAAGAGACCTTATTGCCTGTTGGTAGGCCCAACCCTCCTACCTGTAATTACTTTCTATGGATTTGCCAGATCTAAACTGCTAGATGTTGCATGGATTTTTCTGTGGAGAAATGGGACAAATATTCCTTCACTCCAGGTAGGGCACCTATGGCAGGTGAAAGAAGAGTCCATCTAGGTCCCACTTAGTGATACAGCAAATTCTGTAGGGGTTATCTACAGAAGCGTGAGTGACTCATGGGCAGCTGTACCAACAGAGAAACCCTCCCCAGCATGGCTGATGACTCAGGAGAGCTGCATCATTGGAGATCCCTGTACAACCTGCAGCCAGCTCCAATGCGAGAAGAACCTCATTCCCCAGCAATTGTTACTGCTTATATAACCTTGGGAAGGGCCCCCAAAGCATACTGAGCCTTGTAAATTTCGTTTATTTCTGAGTCTTAGGACTCTCTCTCCTCCCTCAAGGATGGAATGCTTTGCTTTGGAGGAGACTGCTACACAACACAAGTATACCGTGTAGTCCCACCTAGTCTTTCCATAAGATACCGTCCTTGTGAGGTGTTATTCTAGTGTGCTGGCTAGTTTTATGTCAACATGACACAAGCTAGAGTCATCTGAGAGGAGAGAGCCTCAGTTGAGAAAATGCCCCCATAAGATTAGGCTATAGGAACTAGGTGGTGGTGGCACATGCCTTTAAGCCCAGCACTTGGGAGACAGAGGCAGGCAGATCCCTGTGAGTTCAAGGTCAGCCTTGTCTACAGAGAGAGTTCCAGGACAGGCAGGGCTACACAGAGAGAAATCCTGTCTCAAAAAAAAAAAAAAAAACAACAACAAACAAACAAACAAACAAAAACCCAAAACCGAACCAAACAAAAAAGGTTCTGCTATAGGCAAACATGTAGGGCATTTTCTAAATCAGTGATTAGTGTGGGAGCACTCAGGCCACTCTGAGTGGTACCACCTCTGGGCTGATGGTCCTGAGTGTTACAAGAAAGCAGGCTGCACAAGCCATAAGGAGTAAGCCAGTAAGCAGCATTCCCCCATGGCCTCTGCATCAGCTCCTGCTTCCAGATTCCTGCCCTGTTTGAGTCCTACCCTGACTGCCTTTGATGATGAACTGTGATACAGAACAGTAAATGTAATAAACCCTTTCCTCCCCAAATTGCTTCCGGTTGTGGTGTTTCATCACAGCAATAGAAATCCTAAGACACCCTCTCATAGGCTCCCTGCTTCTACCTGATCTACCAAGTACCTCCCTGAAGGGCAAGTGTTGGGACGGGGATAGACTTTTTTTTTTTTTGTCTTTTTGTCTTTATACAGACTAAACCAAATAGTGGAGCTGGGTGGTGGTGGCAAACGCCCTTAGTCCCAGCACTCGGGAGGCAGAGCCTGGCAGACCTCTGACTTGAAGGCCAGCCTGGTCTACAGAATGAGTTCCAGGACAGGCTCCAAAGCTACAGAGAACCCCTGTCTCGAAAAATCAAAACCAATCAACCACCAACCAAAGAAACAAACAAAACTAACCAAACAGTGGAGGTTTCCTAGAAATTTGCACCTCCATGTGACAGCCGTAAGTTTAGGTTCAAATAGCTCTTTGTCCTTACCAGTACGTAGTCACTGATTTGGCCTTCCTAAAGGTCCCCATTGGCCAAGGGCATTTACGTGTCCCTTAGATGAACAGTGGAAATTTGGGTGGAAGAATACTGGGAGAGCAGGGAGTCAGCCTTGAGGAAACGACGGAGGGGAGTATTAAGATAGGTCAGTGTGAATTCACTGTCCCCAGAGGACAGGGTGAAAATGTAATTCAATATAAATTTATTTATTTTTCTTTGTATTTATTCTTCTCTCATACAATACACCCCAACCACAGCCTCCTCTCCCTACACTCCTCCCAGTCTCCCCGAAAAATCTCACCTCCATCCCAGATCCACTCCTCTGTTTCTCTTCAGAAAAGAGCAGGCCTCCCAGGGATATCAACCGAACACAACAGAACAAGATGCAATAAAAATAGTCACAAACCGTTATATCAAGGCAGGATGAAGCAATCAGTAGGAGGAAAAGGGTCCTAAGAACAGGCAAAAGAGTCAGAGACAACTCCCACTCCCACTGTTAGGAATCCCCTCCCTCCCAAGTTAAGCAACCACAACATATATGCAGAGGACCTCACACAGACCCATGCAAGTTCTGTGACTGCTGCCTCATTCTCTGTGAGCCCCCATGATCCCTGCTTAGCTGATTCTGTGGACAGTGCTCTTCTGGTGTCCTTGACTCCCAGGGCTCCCGCCATCCCTCCTTCCCCTCTTCTGTAGGGGTTCCCTGGGCCCTGCCTAATGTTTGTCTGTGGGTATCTGCAACTGCTCCCACCACGTGCTGGATGAAGCCTTTCTGACGGCGATTGGGCTAGGCACTGATCTATGAGTACAGCAGAATATGGTTACAAATCATTTCATTGGCTTCTGACTTTTTTTCCCCACCAGTCATATTTGGCTCTACCCTAGGTCTCTGGGGCATCCAGTTTCTGGTTCCTGGCCATCCAGGCAGTATCAGGCATAGGCTCCCTCTCCTGGTGTAGACCTTAAGTTAGACCAGTCATTGGTGGGCCACTCCCACAAGCTCTGAGCCATCATTGCCCCAGTCCATCTCACAGGCGGGATAAGCTGAAGGATTTGTGACTAGGTTGTTATCCAAGTTCTACTACTGGAAACCTTGTCTGCTGAAAGAAGATGGCTGAATCAGGGTCCCTATCCTCCATTACTAGGCATCCTCAATAGGGTCATCCTCACAGGCTCCAAGGAGTTTCCACTGCACTAGGTTTCCACATCACTCCCTAAGGACCCCCAATTCCAGTTAATATGAGTGAAAATGTAATTCAATATAAATTTATATAAGCAGACCTACAAGGCAGGAATGGGATTATCTTTTGTTGAGAACTTACTATATACAATTTGATCATTCATTTACCCTCAGAACAACCTTGGCAAGTAGGTTACACTGTTCTCTTTTACCAATAAGGACACCAGGCTCAGAAAGATTATGAAAATGGCTTCAGATTGCACAATACAAATGGTAGGGCTAACACTTTGATGTGAATAAAAGGAAGTCACATATTTTAGTTCCTATCTGCCCTGAGGAGTAGTTCTGATCCTTGTGGAAGGGGAGACACCAGGGCAAAGCTCTTTCTCTGCTCCCTGTAGGAACATCACAGCTAGTTCAGACTCCATTTTTAAGAAGCTTTCTACCTCTCATACCTTTTCCCCTCTTACACTGGCTTTGAGTTGCCACAGCATGCATGGATAGAACCAAGTAAGATAATTTTCTATGCCTGAATTCCTTCCTTTGTGTAAGCTAGGTTTTTGGGGTGAGTGAAGTGGGTGACATGTTAGTTTTGCTTTGTGATACCCTTGTCACAGCCCATGATGAAGCAGTCACTGAGTGATCAGCATGGCTGAGTCTTGTGGACATTTCTGAGCTCTCTATTTGCCTGACTCTGACTTGAGCAAACTTTGTTGGAAGGTTGTGGTGGCAGAGTGGCGACCTTCAGGGACATATTTCTGCCAGTAGGGCTTATCTAGGTCCTTATAGAGTACACAACAGTGCAGAGTATTGGTGAGCAGCACACATGGCTGCAGCTGGAGGCCAGGTCCCTGACCTTAGTCCAACATCTTTATCCTCAACCTAGGCCCCAGAGAACTTTCTGTTATCCCCCAGTTTACCCCTGTTTATATACACTGGTGCTGGTGGGAACCTGGAGTCACATTCACTAGAACGACTTGCTGACAGGCCTACACATCTTTATCCTAGGATGCTTAGTGCCTCAGGTGGCATTTCACATGCATTTTCCTTTGTCTGGTTAATTGCCCCATCTACTTGGCTCTGCCCTTGTTGTAGGACCACCTTGCTCCTTGTGGTTCTCTTGCTCCTTAGTCTCTGAGCCACTATGTCCCATTTCATGGCTCCTGCCTAAGGCTTCTTGCAGTCTGCCATTGGCCATGAAGTCTTCCTGGATGTGCCATCATGGATACATTTTCATCACCCAGGTTGATTCTTAAGACCAGAAGGTTCATGATATCAGAAGGAACATGTCATTGAATGCCTCATCTCCCACGCATAACATGCTTTGGGTGGGGTCAGAGAGGAATAATCTGCTGAGATGACTGCTGGTGATTTTATTCAGGATCCTCTTTTGAGCCTGGTTTTGACTTAGACTTGATTCATGGCAGGACTTGGAGGTGTAGTACTGGCAACTCTCCTGTTGGGTTCAGAGTGGCCATCTTACATAGGCTACTCCTGCTTCACTCAGGGCCAGTCTGGATTCCTGGCTCTATTTTCAGTTGGTTATTTGAGAATCTGCTCAGTCCCTCGTGAGGCAGATGTCCAATTGGACCATCCCACTTTCATTCCACTCGGTTTCCAGAATTGTCTTAACTCCAGGTGGCTGAAGTGTAGAAGCCCCCACACTGGCCCTCTTGCCTCTCAGTCCTTCTGTTCTATCTGCCTCCAGGCTTGAATTGAGTCTTTTCTCCACTCTGGGGCGGGGGAAATGTGTTCACCTTCTCACTGCTGCAACCGCCCCCAAACCCTAGTCCTCTTTTAGGGTCGAGTGGATCTTTCACTGCTTCAGGAAGTGTTCCTTGATAATTTTTTTTCTGCACAGTTTAATGCCTAGAGTCTTTGGTGTCAGGCACCCAGAGGATTATGGGACCACATCACCTCCCAGTTATACTCTGCTGGCTCCCAGGATACCCTTGACTGTATAATTGGTATCTCTTGTTTTTCTCAAAGTGCTCACTGCTTGGCCTATGCTCAGTGAGCTTTTGATGCCTCAGTGACTTTGAGGGTGCAGGTTGTCTAAGTTACCATCAGGGGATTAACCCCTTTCTTTGTTGTGACCCTAAGTTCCACCTGGGTTCATTAAGACTCTGCAGGAAGTCTGAGGAACTGGCTTCTGTTCCAAAACAAGTCCTGTCCTGGCCCTCACCATAGCTCCCCACAGCTCCACCACTCTGCAAACACAAGAGTTTCCTTCCTTCCAGGTGTTTCTCTGCACTACTAATGGAAGATGTGTGGATTTTGGCAAAGCTTTAAAACTGGCAATAAATAACAAAAAATTCAGCATACCGTTCTGCATATTTTATAACTCTATCTAATAAAGAAATAATCTAAGATGGCACCTGCTAAGAAAACTTAGTTTATTGAAATATGACTGTAATATAGAAAAAGATGGCTAATGCACCGGGCTGCATGATATTAATGCCCTATTCTTCAGCTGGTGTGTTTAAAAGAAGTCTCTCATGTATTTTATTTTATTTTATTAGAAGCCATAACATTAGCTTTTAAAGACATTGTGAGAGAACGAAGAAAAGAGATTTGGACTATTAAAAAAAAAACCCAAAACCCTTAGCAACTAGACCTGTTCTTCTCTATAAATGAAACAAACTAAACAAAAAAAAAAGTTTTTCCCCCCCATAAACATTTTTTTTCTTGGCTGGAATATTAGGACAGTATATTAAATTCCCCCAAAAGGAGGCCCCAGAACTATTTACATAATAATGCCTCCACTGTGGTTGTGACAGATGGGTTTCACTGACGCAGACATACTGTTAGGGGCTTAGCAATAGATTAAAAAAACCACCACAATACTGTGCAACATAATAAAAGTGTATTGTAATGTACATCATA